ACATTTTGAAAAGAAAATATATCTCAAAAAATTTTGCTCCACAGTCTGGCTAAAAGTGACGTGATAACCGCACGACGAGTTTTCGGGTGATATTCACAAATAAATGACTGATTGTTCCTCTTGTTTGCTACCGTTGAAATTGTTGCCGTTGAAATGAAATGATTTGTCGTCACATCAATGTCCGAAAGGAAACGAATGAAAATGTCGACTAGACCTGATTGAACAATTAAACATTCCGCATTGTTATGGAATCGGATAGAATCGCATTGATTGATTCAAGTGGAAAATATTATGGAAATTATTCCGGTTATCACTCCGTTATGATTATTTGTTTAATACGAATTAACTGGCTACATGCATGAATTCATTTAACAGATATCACGTTCCACACAGAGAGGAATTTCTTTATACAGTATTCAATAAGCAGACTGGAAAATAGAAATATTCACCAAATGCTTTTAGTTAACAAAAAAAATCGAATTTTAAATTTCATGAATGTGTTCAAAGTTTTTGACTTCGAGGAGAATTGATGTGAAAATAAGTTGTCTCGACTCGGATGTTTTTTGATGTGTGAACAATGAGAAATCTTGTCGGAGCTGAGACTTTTGTAAGGAGCAACGCTATTTCTGGTGTGCACGATTCATTCTGTCTTTCATTTTTGAACGATTGAGCAGCATCTTCATCGGTTGAATCATTATCACGATGTCAGACATTCGAAAAAAATTTGCATTCTTTGAAACTTTCACTGCCCAAGTTATTTCCATTCACTGAAATTTCTCGCACTTCGTTATTTCGCCACGTATATTCCCATAATTTTAAATAGCACTTCCAGTTTGAGCGCTTAAATCATTTCAATGAAACATTCTGCAAGAATTCATTAGCCACCATCTACATCTTCAAACTGTGAAAGCTCCTTGCGTCTCTGCAACTAGAACGTTTCCAATAAAGCCGTGAAAGAACTTTGAAATATTGCTGCAGAATGCTTTTTGATATGCATCCATTTTGTATTGCATTCAAGAGAATTATTCGTGCACATTTTGCAGAAACATATGAATGTAGTTGATTTCTTGAACTCGCAACTACAGTAAAAACACTTCTGTTCATATCGTAGAGCGGATTATGAAAAAATCGCTCTGCGATTACTTTTGTTCGATGTTTTGGAATTTTTGATTAGAATTGCATAAGAACATCTTCTGCCCATTACTAACTGTTTCTATTCATCACTCAAATAAGATTCTTGTTACAGCTCTAATCATGCGAAAATGGCTATGTTCAAGGTTAAAACAATAGAATTTTTTCGATCCAAGTGAGTTCGAAACAAAATCAAATGTCAAAAAATCTGTACGTCCATAAATCACCCATAAATATATTAACTACGCCTGTTACCATACCTGCAAATTTCCTACCGAGTAATCGAGTCGTTTTATATATAAGCAAGCCCAAATGCATAATGCAAATAAATATGCAAGTAAAATGTTTTGCCTCATCGCAAATTACCGAAAGCGATTGAAGTGAAGATGCCAGCCAATCAAGGAGCATCGATATCTGACGAGATGATACGTCGTGTTTTGTAATGTTATGTAAACAAGAGATGGTCATCAAACGGTTTTCTCGCCTCACAACTTCAACATCCTCTTTGATCATTCACTTGTCATTCTTGTCGGGTTTGTGGGAAGGAAGGAGGCAAATTTGTAGAATGAAATGAAAGCACGAATAATTGTTGGCAATTGTGCTTTGATGTATTCAAAAACAATCATTACGCTTACGATTGTCGTGAGTACAATCAAACGATCCTTTTAGATAAACATGCATGAGCATATAAATACTTGTAGATGGTAGATAAAATCATAACCGTATTGTTCGTGTGTATAAATATTTGTTTACGTTTGTTTGTTGATGTAAATGTGCATTGATATTGGTGATAGTGTGTACCTGAATTTATGTAATGATTTGTCAATAACTTTCGATAACGTCATCAAACAACGTTGTAAATACCACTATCACGCAAGCACATTGCTAACAAAAAGCGAATGCAAGCGATTGCTTGTTCTGAAATGTTACCGTAGTAAGCATTTCCATCTGCGGGAATAGTATAATTTGATTGCCGATAACGAATATTTCAAGTGAAGCTTATATTGAGTCTTACAAAGTTATGAGACTTCAACTACGAGGAGGCATCAAATCCCGTCATTGAATCAAATTACGTTCACTCATCTGAATAGTGTATTTAATGGCAGCAGTAGTGAGTAGTCATTAGTCATTAGTTGTATGTAGCCATTTTGTAGTTTCAGGTGATTTTATGACCAAATTACTAGATCAAAGCAACTAATTTAAACAGTAGGTCCTTTCTAACTATACGAAGTAATGATAACATTCAGATTTCAGCTGTTCAGCCGAAATGCTACCATTACTTCGTATAGTTGAAAATGTAATGCTACTTAGTATACAGCTGAAAATCAAAATTCAGCTGTTCCCAACGGCAATTGGGTGATTTTGCTACGGAAAAAGAGTAAGCTGAAACTGTTTCATGGATAAAAGGCTATTTGAATGAAGTACACATAACGGATATCGTATTATCGCGATGTCTTCGTTCTGTTTACAAATTCGCTCAGTTCATTACATATTCTTGTGTCTACAAGTGTTTTTGTCGGTGTATCCTTTTTACAAAGCTGGAAATTCACAATTAACAACGGTTGAAAAAACGTTTGAAGCTGGCTATATGCAGCGATCATTAACATAAATGAACATCTGCGATGGAATTCGGTTTGGATAAATTTATGTTGTTCGCTCATAAACAGAAAGCGCTCCATTCAGATATCTGCATTATATCTTAGCCAGACAACGTTCGGCCACTTCACTTATTTTCACACACTTTCAGTGACCATTTATTCCATTCGAGGGATTTTCTTCCAATTTTCATTCAGAGAACTTGAATTTGTATTGTTGCGGTAACAATTTTTTCTGCGAAATTCGTTGACTCATAAGGTTAAATGTTGTTTGACATGAATTCATGTATTACAAGACGATGTGCATTAAAGGGGAGACACTTAAGACGTTTGATGTCAAGTATAAGGTAAGTATTTAAATTGAAGAGGATGGATGGATTGGCGTGAACATCTCGAAATAACACCACTCGTTTGGTATCTGTTAAGTGGTTACTTTCGAGTGTCATAGGAAACGTAGCTTTAATCGCTCTTGAATACGGTGATGTCGATAAATTAAGTAACTGCTCAGTTTTTGAAATATGGTAAGAGATACTTCACTGCTGACGCCTTCTCAACCGAATGGCATCCTTGCAAAGGGGTGATTACCTAGAAAATCGACCCATCCCATCCACCTTCACCTTGTCCTCACAAACTGAATGTGCACCAAAAATGTTTTCTCAAAATAGATCGTGCTGAAGTCATTTCATTCATTCACTTGAAATGATGATCAGATGCATGTTCTAATATCTGTTACGTGGCCGACTGAAAGATGAATGCGCATAGTATATCAGATGTATTTCCTATGAAATTCCACTGACATTGCAAATGAAGTGTTTATTAGCAAAGTGAACAGAATCATCATGAGACATCAATAAGATATAATATGAATGTGCACAAAAAAACAATCAAACAAAAATATTAAACAAAGGATTAATGAGTAAATAGATGAGAACCATCGATTGAACACCTAAATTTTGACATTCAATTGTTATAAACGATTATGAGTGCCTGATTATGAGTGGTGAAATTGTATAATAGAAAGAAACTTGGAAAGTATATACATTTCAGTTGTGATTAGATCTTAATAAAAGGCGATTAATTCAGTAACGAAATAAACTACTGCAGAGTGATGAACAGGAATAAATTATGGTGAAACGTTCAACTTTTTAAAGAGAACTGGTGATCCGGTTTGCCTTAGTTTGCTAGAACTGATAAAAGATCATAACAATTCACATATTACCTGACATACATGTTTACATGAAGTGAGCCTTCGGGAATACTAGAGTAAGGAATATGAAGCAAAAACAATACCATACAAGAAACTTTTCCAGAATTTATTCAAAAAGACCTAAAACATTAGAATATTACATGCATCCATTCAGGGCATAACACAAGAATGCTTCACTCAAATTATTAAATATTCACACAATTCGGCAAAAAAAAAAATGAATCAAGAGAACGAAAGATACAGCATCAAACAAAATAAGAATCAGTTGAATATGTTGAACCCAAACTAATATAGCCCCCAATACTCAGAGCCTAATTCATATTTTTCAATCCGTATTTGAAATTTGAAGAAATTCTTTGTAGAACAGAAAATTTCGAATCGTCCAGAATGGCTGCATTTCAGGAGAAACCAATTATTCATTTCCAACAAATGTTCAGTACGAAGTACTAAAGAAAGGGAACGTGGTGAACAGAAAATCCGAGCTAAAGGAATGATTCCATAACATCAAAACATCATTCCACTGGCACAATTATGTTCGAAGAAGGATATTCAAACAGAATAAAACAGCAGAACGAATCGGAAACTGTTCTAGTCGCGGATGAATGGAATATTCTAAATTCATCTCGGTAAAAATGATGAAAAACCAATGGAAATATCTGAAATAATACCAGATGCTCAACTCTTAACGCTATTTTCCACCAACCATCAATAAATCAACTGTTCAATAACGTTAAGAAAATTGGAGGAAAATTTTGCACCCAAATAATTGGAAAAGTAATTTGGTCGTTCAAAAAACAGTCATAATACAGAAACGACTGGTAGAGAATAGTAAGAAGATGCGACAGCCGTAAATACTTACAAGAGGAATGGAGGTCTAACAAAACGATGAGATATTTGGTTGAAGTCAATTCTCACTGTCAGTTCTGACGTGCGAAATATTTAGATCAGTTGAAGAAACTATTGAATGAGTGTGACAATAAATTAATGACACACAGAATTGGTGCATACATGGAAAAAATTTAAAAAAAAAAACAAAACAAAAAAAGCACAGTAAACATCAATAGCATTCAAGACGCAATTGATGAAACAGCGATGTTTGGTCCAGCCGTTATTACGATCTCACCGTATGGTTCATCTTGTTTCACGTCGATCGCCTGCCACTTCTTTAACACCAACAAAGTGTAGAACTTCTGAGCTGCCGTCTTACGGGTGGAACCTTTCGTGAGGAGATCCGAGAGATTGATCTGAATCAATAAACACAATCAATATCACAAGTTGTTCAAAACCAACATCAAAACACATAATTTGTTTACAGCATTTTCGTCAAAACAACAAACTAATAACATATTGCACTTATCTAATCACAATCCGAGTAAGAAAGCTCAGCAAAATTATCAAGGCGAATGAACAACTCGACACAATGATGCTACATCAATAAAAAAAGATCAGTCATGCGAACTATTCAGTAAGCAATTCAAACCTCCTCGTTCGCAGATGATTTGAGTCTGGTTGCGATCGAGTTCAGTACGTTCTGTGTTCTCTTCGTCCATCGATGATCATCCTCGCCATCACCAACTGTCTCATCCTCGTCGATCGTTCGCTTAAATTCATCCAAAACCTTACTTCGGGAATCCATCTAATTTTAACCATGTAAAATCCTGACGTCTGTTATTATTTCAAATTACGATTTGAAGAAACCCAACAGGGGCAAAATCATTATCATTAACCGTTCAGGAAATGACCGGACTAAGACTCCTTGGCATCCTAACAATAACAGAATTCAAAGGCTGAACATGAAAAATGACTGGAACATTCACTAGCCGTTCAATAAAATATTTAAATGATATCTGCTGATACTGGACATTTCAAATTTGCTCATCGAATAAATAAGAGAGTATCTAATCAAAATAACCTCAGCACGACTTCTTCGTTCTTTCTTTTTATCTGCGGGTGTCGTTGTTTCTTTTGCGCTCGTTTCAGTAGCTGTTTCCTCCGCAACCACTTGAGGTTCCTCTTCAGGAATCGCCTCCATCCCCACTGGCGAACCGATCGGCGACAGACCACCTCCACCAATCTCATCGAAATCATCAACATGATCATCCTTCAATTCAACTTCCATGAAACAATAATTCTAAAATCAAAAACTGACGAAAATAAGTAATTAACAAACCTCACCTCTTATTGAGCGCCAAGTGATACGCTCTCAATGCGATTTAACAAAAGTAAATATACATTCACTAAATTATGAAACTGAAATCGACTGGCAATTCCCGACGAGTCAACAGGTCAACAGCAGTATATAAACGAACCATAAATCCAGAGATCACACTTCCTTCCGGTTCTATACCCTCCTCCACACTCTCAACCATTTCCAAATCACGCCGAATATCATCTCCACTCACCGCTGCCGCATTTCGTGCACGGAGAACCAAATGTGAACGATATAACTGAAATTGAATGCAACTTAAACTGCACACTTCTTAAATTCAGATGGCGGCCCATTCAGACATGCATTCAATTGGCCTTGTTCATATCGTTTTCCATATCAAAGTCAATTCGGCCGATTGCGTGGGTGAACTTAACCAACTAGTTTTTCATACTAAACTTAATTCAGCGCATTGTGATGCCCAGACCAACACAAAGTCCGAAGTATTTTCATTTACTCATTACTGTTCATAACATGTCTTCACAAAACAATACCGAATCATTAATAGTGGCAATCATTCAATCGTACTGAATGTTGGTTTAAAAATTTGAAAGGCTTCATGAATTTGCGGAAGCAAACCTTAATCATTAGCGTAAAATAAGAATGCAAATAACTGATGATTAAACCTTGAGAAGTGATGAAGCACGAAGGGAATTGCATCCTGGGTTATGGAATAAACGTTCTACATTACCACTTTCCTTCAAACGCATCAGTTTTTTGGTTGGTGGAGCCAGATCAAGCTGTTGAACGGTATCTCTGAAAATATTACAGAACATTTGGGCATTCACCGGATGAGATGTGAATAACAAATTATAATTGCTCGAATGTTTTTCGTAAGAATAACTGACAAATACAGTTCAATTTATAAATTTTGAAACAAGAAATGAATAATCTACCTGAAATCAGCCATATTCGCCTTCATTTCATCACCGGATATATTCTTTGGATCATCGATAACAAGTCGTCGTTTTCTCTTCGGCTTGCTTTTCTCCATCCCGACCATTGCCACCGCACTCACATCGAGCGGTTCCAGTGCAAAACTTTCATTCATCAGTGATCCTTCAAACCAATTTCATGCAAATTTCAATCCAAATCAAAAGAATGAACAACGACTGACTGCATACTTCGAAGTACTCGGAAGATAAAAATGATTCAAAAATAGAGAACAACATTTATCAGATAACTGAGTGTGCAATATCAAGTCAAAACAACCTGATTTGGATTACAAAAAAAACTCCTTAAAACTGAATAATACGCCTAAACCGGAACGTACCGGCAACAACTGCAGGCACACCAATGGTGCCCATTTCATCGGCTTCCATCGGCGTTTCATGTTCGGCTCCTGGTGCTTCCATGGCATCGATACCTTTTGCCAGTTCACTCTCGTTGAAGAGAACATCTAAAAGACAATTACATGGTGATGTGCTTTCATAAAAGTAATTCCTACAGGACGGTGAATTTCGGCAGCGTGAATTTTAGCATTTCAGGATGGGAGAGAAGACTTGACAATTGATAGTGATTGATATCTCTTCCACTATTAGTCATTATTTTTTCCAAAGCCTTTGTTTGATCATAAGGAATTGACAATTAATTTTTTGTTTTCCTTTTGATATATTGGAAGGTGATAAATTACTAGAAGAGGAGATGCATTGGGTGAGAAAAATAAGGCCTGCCACAGAGCTACAGGGAAGCACGAAGAACAACGGAGTGAAAAGCTCTGACACGTTCACTCGTCTCAAATATAACCAAAAGAGAACACTAGAGGCTTATTTCATTTCAGCTTGATATATTAGGGATATTCATCCAAGAGAAAACAAACTCCGACTGACTGTAAAAATGGACCAACTTTTCATTGATCATTATAGAGAATAAGTGCCGAAAGAAGATAAAACTGACCTTCAAGCATGCCTTCAGTCCCAAAATCACCGAAATCATCATCTGGTACTGGCATGCCGAGATGATCGCCAAGATCGATATCGATATGACGACCAGTAAACGCATCTTGTTTAGCTGTGCTGCCGAGTGATGATGGTTCAAGCAAAGTTGTAGCTGCTGAACCTTCGTGCGGTTCAACTACTTCCGACAGTCGATCACGACCCGCTTCGATCTCTTCCCCGAAAAATCCAATCGAGTTCTCACCAAAGTCATCACCCTGAGATTTCATCGTATTCATAAACACCGCGCTATTGTCAAAGCAATGTTAGGAAATATCCTCCAAAAGCAATCTTTTCAGATTAATCGCTTTGCAATACATGCACAAACTGATGTTCACATCTTATAGCGCTGGCTTAGTTTACTGTATATAATTTGGGTTGATTGCATAACTAACTACTGGACTCGCAGTACTTTTGAGATCGACAGCTGTTAGTGTGAGTCATGACTCAAGAATAACATCCGGATGTGCATTCGTGATGAGATTTTATGATATTCAGCGATCACCGACGCTTCATTTTATGATGTCCAGATTGTACTGTAAACTATCCTCGAACTTTGGCAAAGGTGTTACCTTTTAATATATAACAAATATCGCAAGACGAAGGGCCTAAATGAATAATTTCACGTAAAACAAATAATCGCACCCCAAATTCGCCTCCAAACGGCATTTCAGTTGAGTCAGTGATGACATCTTCCTTCAGTGTAATGTCGTCAATACGACTCTGATTGATATGCATTTGTGCTTGAACGTCCAAGTCGTTGAAATCTGGCAATGCCGCATCGAAATCATGGAAAACCTGCAAAGATTACACGCCTTATGCCTTATTTAGTGATATCAAGCATGGCACAATTACCACTGTGCTCTTTCCCTTATCTAAACGTAACCTCGTTTCGATTCTAGTAGGAATGTTTAATTATTTGAAAAAAAGCTCTCATCTTACAATTAGTGAAGGCAGCACCATCCTTCCACAAAGCAAAAGTAAATTGTGAGGCATTATGAGAAGTTTTATTCCCCACAATAAGAACTGAAAAAAACGCACCTCAGGCAGATTGATCGCTGCACTCGTCGCTTGCCTACCTTCTTCATTAATATCCACTTGACCAGGCCTGAAGGCCATTTTTATTTTTAGAAATGCCTCATTACAATCGGCGAGCAGATATTTCGCTTTACGAGAATAGATACGCACGATACCCAATAATAAATGACCAGTTGTACGAAGGGCCATTTTCACCTGAAATTACTTTTGATTGTTCTTGTGCGGTACATTGCCGCAGATATGGATACCTGTGAAACTCAAAACCTCGTCTTTCTCCACGACTTTGGATTTCCATAAATTCGCTCAATCAATCAGCCTGTTTCAAGGGGTTGCTTGATGAAAGTAACAAAGTCGAGTAAACTTGCTTTTGAAGAAAGTCATCAATAAAATGATGGAAAAGATTCAAATTTTCACCCAATCTTCCACTGGCATTATTTGTTCATCACACAAAAGAAACTAGTACCGCAATATCTTCCTTCATTACCGCAATATCTTTACGAGTATTTCTTGGATTCGATTGAAACGTTCGTCACAAAAATGAAGTATTAATTTCCAGACCTCACAGAAGTATTAATTTTCAGATTCACTAATCGAGACTCAGAGTAAACGGCAATCGAAGCACAACAAAAAAACAAGTTTGTAAAGGTATTATGTCACACTTTTGGTTTAAGAATTTCATCGACAGCATCTTGAACACTAGTTTCATATATTTGCGCCTTCGATAATTTCTTCTCCCAATGAGCGGCAAGCCAGATCTTCGCTAGAGGGCCCTTCTTCGATAGCACGAACTGTGCATAGAACATCTTGGGATTTCGTCGATGCGATTATACCTTATTAGGCGTTTGCAAACTGACGCATTCACCCGCAGTACCAACTGAAATAGAAACCATTACCAATCAAATTGAGAATAACAGATCGGAAACACCACGACCGCGTTAAATTTCATACGATATTGACATGCTGTTCAATTCTTAACATTGTCCGCTTGTAAAATTCACAAAACTCAAGCCACTCTTTAGTTGAAGAAAATCGCTCAACAGCATAAAATTGATTATTTGCACAAAATTCAAATACAAAACGAGCGAATTACAGGGAACCGACGCGCTAATTGCGAAGCAAGATAAGTTCATCTTTTCAACATCGGTTCGCAGTGGGCAACATTTGCACTTCATTCAAAAGCGGGAATTTGAAATTTTCTGACAACAACCTTCACAACCCCAACACCCTTCCAAAATTCAGAAGCAAGAAAACAAAAAAGCACCGGGGCGAAATCTTTAACCACACATATAATACACACTCAAAACCGAACAAATAAAAAGAAAGAATCACAATAAAACGAAAATATCACATGGCACCATCAAAAAAATCACAATATCACATAACGACAATTAATATAATATCACACATCTGCCAATCTTCATTCTTCGAGCACCAGTTGTCGAATCCTTCGAGTCGGAGTGAGAAGTCTTCTGAAATGAAACACACAACATCTTCAGAACCAATATCAAAGTAGTAATAACAATAATAGCATCTCCTGAATATTCAAATATTAATGAATGTACCGATATGTCAAAATATTCATATTAATTATATCATATGACTACATCGAAATGAATGTACCGACCGACGCACATTCATTTAGCGCAGAGCAAAATTATATAGAAAGCACTTTTATAAATGGCCAAAATAACACACCGAAAATTTTGAGGATATTCGCTGAATCATAGAAAAAAATGATCTTTTGATCAATCAGTTAAGGCGGCTCTAAAGAGAGCCGTTGGGTTGTATTGGCTCTAAAGAGAGCCTTTGGGTTGTCATCGCGATAGACAAAGTTTGGTTTATCAGTTTGATGGCCCTAAAGAGGACCGTTTGTTTATAACTCCAAAAACGCCGCGCTATCATATCCTCAAATAAACCCTCGTGATAAACCTTTCATGCTGAAAAAAAAATGAAATCAATTGTAAAGTCAAAAATGAAGGAGATTTCGTAAAAAGTGAAATAAGAAAATTAAACACTGGAGCACTTGATGTGAATTACCTCTACAGGTGGATGGATTGCTGCAGCCATGATCCTATTTACCCGCAAGGCCACACTTGTTGTGATTAATCATCCATCCTTTAGATCTAGCGCAATCCAGTCGAATGTATGAAATTTAATAACATTTGTTTACATTCAAATGAAGTGAAAATTCCAACAATGCAATTATTCTTGCTCATTTATGGTGTTTGACAGCAAAGAGTTTGAAAATAAGTAATTGCTTACACAATACTCCAACAAAAAATAATTATGAATAATTTTTGGAATTCTTTAAATTCAAGCGTGAAGGCAGATATTACTTCTTTTAGAGGCTCAACGGTACGACTGCCGGGCTTGACCCGGTACCGAGATAGGATTATTCCTTGGGTTATCCGCCCATTCTCTCAGCCGCCATGCAGTCGAGAGCCGAAAAGGATCGCAAAAACGTAATATGTGCAATCGCGCATGATTTAAAAAGTGAGAGAAATATATCTAATAAGCAATCACTTATAATGATGGAAAATTAAAAATTCAAACACCAACAACCACAAGATCAAATGAAAAACTGTCGCAAATGTTTTTAAACCACTCTCGACGACTTGCTTTCTCAGAAGTACAGACACCAGATTTTCAGACACCCGAGGTCCTCCGCCGCTGTCCATGAAAACATGGATGTTTGACGGTACGAATGCCGGGTTCACCCGGAACCGGGATAGGATCATTCCTTGGGTTATCCGCCCATTCTCCCGGCCACACTGCATCCGAACACCTACAGGGTGCTCGAAAAACTAGTGTCTATGCCCCTTTCCAATCATCAGTTGAATACCAATATATAAAAACATTTAACAACAGCTTCACCTGACCTTATGGACCTAATCATCAATAATGTAAACATACGAAATTTTAGAAAATGGAATAGGAATCAACTGGCCTATATGACCTTATGGACCTAATCATCAATAATGTAAACATACGAAATTTTAGAAAATGGAATAGGAATCAACTGGCCTATATTAACAACAGCTTCACCTGACCTTATGGACCTAATCATCAATAATGTAAACATACGAAATTTTAGAAAATGGAATAGGAATCAACTGGCCTATATCTGTTTTGGCGATTGTCTGTTGTTGAGGCCACGCCATATTTGCCTTGCGTTGTTGCCCTCGATTTTCTGTCGTGTCCAACAGTCTAGAACATACGAATGCAATTAACGATGAAAATCGAACAGTGCAAATTATGAAAGTCCCAAGAGATATCAACGAAAAAGAGTTACGAGATTACTTCATCATATCAAAATTTTCGACTGCAAATCACAAAATTACTACAACTTTCTGATTAGGACTCTGGTGAGCCCAACCTAATTCCTTTGCCGTTGCGCTGATTAAGTCGTATGATTGAGAACTTGCCGGAAGGTAAATTCTATGACCACTGATCAAAACAATCGTCTCAGACCCACAAGTTACATGAGAATAACGGAAAAGTGAAAAACATTGTCACAAAACAGATCATTTCGCCGAGAAGGTGCCGATTTCTACGTGATGGAATTGGTACATACATCATTGAAACAAAAACCGGCTAGCAATTACGCCTTTAAGCTTAAAAACTAATAGCGGTTAAAAAAAGCAAAAAAAAATCGGAAGCAATGAAAAAAAAGACGAGCTCAAGAAATTAATTCTGTTGATGGAACAGTTCGTTCATGGAAAGTAATCAATTTGATATCATCTCATTTCAATTGTAGCGGTATACTCTAACAGATGTGAATGTGTATAAGTGCAATAAAATCGTGCCCTCCGTTTCCAGTCATATTCCTCGGTATTTTTACCACTTTCCGTGAGTGATATGATGAATATCATCGATCTGCGTTCGTAAATTGCCAACTGTCGTCTTCTCATCTCCAGATTCAGTTCGCCATCGAGAACTGGACTGAATTTGGATGTGTATTTCCTTACTGATCGTCTTTGTGAGTGACCAACAGCGACTCGATCAATCGTACGGTTTGGCTAATTTTTGAGTGGAACACATTTTGAACGGATTATTCGGCAAAAGGTATCATTTCCTCGCATGTTTTGAACCTATTTTTGATGAGCCGTTTCATTCGTTCAGTTTTCCATTTCACTTCTGTTCTTATGTTGTGGTTAGGAACTTTTTGACAGGTATACGTTGATTTGTATTCTTGCATGTGCGTTAAGCACTGAATTTCAGGTAAATACAACAAGATATCTCTCACTGTATTGAAGTAATAAAATTGTTTGGCACTCAATAGAAACCCGATTAACATGAACTGATGTGCGGTGAAAACATTCGGTCATATAATTTGAGTTTTTGTTCTGTTCTTGTTATAACACTTTGCTTGGTTATTCATTTTCTTCGATAATTTGATCTTAGGAGGAAAAGGCAGCATAAAAACACTCATTCACACATCTTAATGGGTTGAATTTCAGATTTGGCTTTGATCATCATAAATCCAATACTGCCATACTCAAATCAATAGTTTTTGCCAAGGAATACATCGAAGTGTTCACTCCTCGATCGACATTAAATAACAGTGATACTTGAATTATGATAATAATATTGTTTTTGTAAATCTTTTGTTGAATTGATTTATAATTGTCATAATAAATCAATTTATAAACGTGTAAGTTTTGAATCGCATTCTCATGAATACACTCACTCAGTTACTATAATTTGAAATTTCTTCTCTGATAATGACCAGTTTCGCTGTTGAACCCTTAAGTACAGTTGATCACTTGGTATTGAGGGATTCTGAAACATGAATAAAAAATTTAAAATGGATTATTTTACTCCCCTCGAACGTGAATCATAATCTTCAGCAAAAGGTTCGCAAAACGAAGTGAGCAATCCACTTCACAGATTATAATTCTCTAGATTCTGAAAAACATCTACTCTGCTGAGCAATTCCGCTTTCTTGAGGAGGTATGGCTACTTTCAAAAAGCTCAATCAACAACAAGCGCAAAGGCGATTATTCGAAAACATTCAATCACTATAGATCAATATCTCTGATTGTAAGTGTTACTATAACTCTATAGAGGTTACCATCTTCAAGGTAACCGTACTCTCAAGTTCCTGATAACACATGAATTTCTTAGCACCATTCGATTGCTCAGAATCTCTAAATTCAGAATTTAATATACTTTACCGAGCAATAGCGATTAGTTCAGGAGATGTGGCTATTTTCTCAATGCTATAACGGTTGCCATCTTCGAGGCAACCGTACTGTCAGGTTTGTAAAGTAAAATGCAAATTTCTTTGCACCATTCGATCCAGCAGAATCTGTGCATTCAGAAAATCATATATCTTGCCGAGCAATTTTGCTTAGTTGAGGAGGTATAGGTATTTAATTAAAGCAATCTCAATTAGCGCTGTGGTGCTCATTGATATGCATTTGATCACCACACATCAATAGACATTATACACTACCATAGAAACATAGGTTTAATACATTCAAGCCTACCGTCTTCTCAAGTTTGCCCAGTAACATATTGATGTTTGTACAACATTCGCTTTATCTGAATAGCAGATATCTGTAAATGAAAACCTCGCCTTAAAATC